GTTATCTCAACTTCATATTCAAGTGTGAAGAGGCTAGTTTTGGAGGCTGTTGCGTTTGGTTCTTTCCTTTGGGACACAGAAGAATGCATCGAGACAGTGTATAAGCTTAAGGAGAACTAACTAGTGGGTATGACAGTTTCTTTTGCCCAATATGGTTTGGGTGAAATTTTCTTTGTAAATAGCAAGGATCGTACTCTGCGTTTTTGGCTCCGCCAGCCATGCAAGCCCCCAGTAATTTTCCGTTGTATAGTGTACATCATGATTATAAATAAAATATAGTTTTGATTCCTAGCCAATATTCAATGATTCTTGTTCTGTTCTTTTTATCAAATGGTAGAAATCATTCCCGATTCCTTGCATTTCCACCTATGAAACGTTGAATTTAGTACCTCTGAGTTGAAATGAATGTAATGTTTTGAGGCTATTTGGTCATCGGCCTCCTCTTCTTTGGTTTCTTAATTGAATTAAATTGACTAGTCTAATCTCTGGTTTAGTACAAGTTTCCAAGCAATGTCTTTTATAGGAGTGAAACTCTCATGCAATGGCAATAACACTTTTTACTATCCCGACCAATGACACAATGACACAACTATCTCTGGCACAATGACACGTCGGATATTTTTCCCATGCGTCGACAGATCAAACCTTGTATAATGACTTGACTTCTCGTAATCTAATGTAATATTAAAACTTGTCAGTTGTCAGTTTTGACACTCAATTCATATTTATTATAATTAAGTGTACCATGTAAACATCATTCTCTGGCGAAAAATAAATTAAATTCAACGATTTATTGTGTGAAAAGATGACAAGTTCTAAAGGTACTCTGGCTACGGCATCCATGGCTGCAAGGCTTATGGATGCGGTTGTGTATGAAAACTATGGTGGAGGGCCTGATGGTTTAAAGGTTCTTTGTCTGTCTGCTAACTCCTGTTTGTTTCAGCTTTCTTTATCAGTGTTTTTGGGTAGAATTCTCTCATATTCTGGAGCTATCTTGGTAAATATTTATGTTTGTTGCAGCATGTTAAGGTTCCAATCCCCAGTCTTAAAAAAGATGAGGTTTTGCTGAAACTGGAAGCGGCTAGCCTGAATGCATCTGACTGGAAAATTCAGAAAGGCGTGTTTCGGCCTCTTTTGCCACGGAAATTCCCTTTCATACCTGGTAATTCTGTTTTGCCTTTGGTCTGTATTTTCGTATATAACATTCCTCAGTGATCTCTGCTTGTGAAGCAAAAACCAATAGATGAGTGAACAAAAAGTCAGTCCAAAAACATGCATCATGGTAGCAAACAAACCTCTGCTTCTATCCCAAACAATAGTCGATTGGGCTAATTTATCTGTCTAATACAGTTCATTGATTCATCGATTCGTAAATATAAAAATGAGGAGTGTTGTTGGGTAGATGGATTATCTGGAGAATTAGTTGTTTTCTGATTTATGCATTCATTTGGATTGTTAACTTTGGCTGATATTATCCGGAACAGCTGTTGATGTGGCTGGAGAGGTTGTAGAGGTTGGACAAGGAGTTGAAAATTTTAAAGACGGTGACAAAGTTGTGGCAATGCTCAACTTTATAGTAAGTTTCAAATCTATAAATTCATATGTTTTTTTACTGATATATATACTATCAATAAAGCCTCAGTTTGTGTTTGATGTGATTTTACACATATTGACAGAATGGAGGTGGATTGGCTGAGTTTGCTATAGCTAGTGAGACATTTATAACATCTGCTAGGCCCCCAGAAGTTTCAGCAGCTGAAGGTGCAGGCTTGCCTAGTTCCGGCCTCACAGCTCACCAGGCTCTCACCAAAGCTGCAGGGATCAAGCTTGATGGAACTGGCCAGCTCAAGAACATACTGATCACCGGCGCCTCTGGTGGCGTCGGGCACTATGTAGTCCAGCTAGCCAAGCTTGGAAACACTCATGTTACCGCCACTTGCGGTGCTCGTAATGTTGACATTATCAAGAGCCTAGGGGCAGATGAGTTTCTTGACTACAACACCCCTGATGGGGCTGCTCTCAAGAGCCCATCTGGTCGAAAATATGATGTTGTGATCCACTGTGCATCAGCAGGCATTCCTTGGTCGACTTTCGAGCCGAATTTGACTGCAAATGGGAAGGTTATAGACCTTACTCCCAGGCCAAGTACCTGGATCACTATTGTTCTACAGAGACTCAGCTTCTCCAGGAAACAGCTGGTGCCATTGATCATAAATCCCAAAGGTGAGAATCTGGACTATCTTGTTGAGTTGATGAAGGAAGGAAAGCTCAAGACTTTGGTTGACTCAAAGCACCATCTGAGCAAGGCTGAAGATGCTTGGGCTAGGAAAACTGATGGCTATGCTATTGGGAAGATCATTGTGGAGACTTAGAGTTAGAGTAAAAATATTGGGATTTTATAAACTTCAGTTATTTCTACGAATCCAGGCTCATTTTGCTCTTTCTAATCAGCAGCTCCCTTATTAACCCAGGAAAATCTTTAAGGATGACAACAACAATTTGCATTTTTCTGAGGTCTGTTTAGAACCTCACTAACTGCAATGAGAGATCTAATAGAAGCCATCTCTATCTATCATTAAAACAATCGACTGCACAAGGAAAACATACCGAGTATTGCTGCAGTAAACTTGCAATTCAGTTCAGAGGGTCCCCTGAAATCCAACAGAGACTCCAATGGAGCTCAAGACAAAATACAAAAGAATGTGCCTTACCTCATGATGCCCTGAAACTAAAGATCTCAAGGCCAACTACGGCCCTACAAAGAAATGATCAAAATGGCCTAAGTCCTAAGAAAGCTGAAGCTAGCCAAATTTGAGTGCAAATGGGAAGGTTATAGACCTTACTTCCGGCCCAAGTACCTTGATCACTTGTGTTCTGCAGAGACTCAGCTTCTCCAGGAAAGAGCTGGTGCGATTGATCATAAATCCCAAAGGTGAGAATCTGGACTACCTTGTTAAGTTGATGAAGGAAGGAAAGCTCAAGACTGTGGTTGACTCAAAGCATCATCTGAGCAAGGCTGAAGATGCTTGGGCTAGGAATGGATATTGGACAAAATATATATTGGGATTTTATAAACTTCATGTGCAATAGAAGAATACTGTATTAGCAATGTGTGGTTATATTTTGACAGTAAATCAGATGTGTGAGGCAACTCTTATCTTGAGTGCACAATTTGAACTTGTGGAATTGATGCTTACAAGTTACAGCATGCAGTGCAATAATATTTGATGAAATCTTGACTCTGCAAGTAACTTGCAAATAGGTCAGTATTGCTTTCTCCAAAAGCATCTTGTAAGTTTAAAAACTCCCAGTTCAAATGATTTTATTAAAGTGTCATATGCATTTTTAACGTAATATTAAATTTGGGTTCTATTGCAATTATCCTTACAATTATGCTGTTAATTACAATTATTTTGTAAACATCTGTCTTTTCGAATCTATTATATGCTTTAGTATTATTATATGAATAATGCACCAATTTGCAATTACCAGTCAACTTTGACAAATTGTCAGACCCAAAAAGAAAAAAACTTGGCAAAATTGTAGCAATGGTCCCTCAAATAAGACCCTACTTTACTTTTCATCCCTCAACCTAAAAAATTGTTATGGTCATCCTTCATTTAGATATCGCGTTGCACCACTCGTTTTTCTGTCAATTCCGTTAAATTTTCTGTCAAAATTAAGGGCAAATTGGGAAATTCACATCAAATTTTAAGGGCAAATAAGACTTTTACCTAGTCACCACCTCATTCTACCCAAACCCAACTACTACTCTCAATCTCTCTCTCCAATGATCCTTTTGGGTTTTGTTTAGTTGTTCAAACCAATCGATGAAAGAGGTTGGGAGGAGGAGGGGGTTGACAAACAGAGTGAGGAAGAAAATGAGAGAAGGAGAGAGTGGGTTGAGGTTGGAGTGGGTCTGTGGGGGTGGGTCGGCGGCAAATTTGTGGGGTTAGGTCTGTGAAGGGTGGCTGGAGGAGAGAGAGGGAGAGAGAGGTGGTTGTTGGGGATGGGCTGTGCTTATTAAGAACCCGGCACATGAAAAGACAAATGTAGCCCTATTTTTCATGGAAAAGTTGACGGGGCTGACGGAAAGGAGAAGTTCTAAAAGTCGAGGCATAGTTGAAGCACCATCATAACAATTTTCGGAGATGAGGGACTAAAAGTAAAGTCGGGTCTTACTTGAGGGACCATTGCTACATTTTTGCCAAAAAACTTTGACACATTCTAATCACCTGCCAAACAGGTTTTGCAGGCCTATGGTATGGCATGTTCGTGTCGAGTGAAAATTAGCTCAATCTGAATTTGCCTGTTAAGCACAACTCGAATAAATAACGAATAACACAACATGACCCAATTTACCCATTAAAAATTTAACCATAGTCGTAAGACCATGTATGGGGGCTGACGCCATTTCTTGAAATCTCTTCTAGGTTAATTGTTATTTTGGATTTTGGGATTTTCTTGTGAAAATCAGTTGAATTCTGTACAAAAATCTTTTTCAACATGTTCACCCGAAATGAAGGCAAAGAAGAGATGCTCAAGTGTTGAGCAATCATGGAACACTTTAATTACATGTAACAGTAATTCAGACATGTTTCTGTTTCTCCATTGCTTACATTATAAGGTAACAAATAAAGTTTGATTTAATCTTGGATCCAAAACCGCAGAATAATACTTATTTAATTGTGTTTTGGGTAAGCTATATATGAATTTGAATTTAATTGATTCAATTAATTACTATTTTCTTTAGCTTTAGTCAGAATCAGTCATTGAGATTCTTATTTCTTAATGAGTTCGAAATTTCCCAGAGGCTGATGATACAACAAGTGCTCCTTATAAAAACTACACGCAAACAAATTAAACTAATGGGTTTTCCCATTTCACCGGTAAACAATTAACATGGCGTATAAGCTAACCTTTGTGACGTCAACTCTGTTCAAGGTTCAATCAAACACATACATATATATATAATCTCTGCTGCCTGCAAAAAGACTCAAACCAATCAGCAAAAATGGTTGTGTTCCTTCTCAAACTCATCTTCTTTGCATTGAGCTTCGTATCAAGCTTGGTTACGGGCTTGATCTTCTCTGCTACTGCCCGTGTTCTAGTGTTATTGATCCATGGATTCAGAGCACCAGGCCTAGCCATCCATGGCACATTACAACAAGTCACAGAGCTCATCAGGTCATGTTCTGAGTACTTTGTGGGCCTTGTATTGGAAGCAATAAGTGCTCTAGTCTCAGCTTTCTTTGATTATCTAAAACAAAGTGTCACAGGGTCTGCTGGAGTTACCACTTCTGCAATTGGAGATCTCATGGAGAAGACAAAGACTTCGCTTGAATTGCTTGACAGGTTGCTCACTGATTTCCCGGAGGTTTCTGATATGATTTTTACCTTGGTGGCTGATTTGTGGAACAATTGCAGGGATGCTTTTGGATATGTTGCGGAGAATGCTTGATTATTTTTGTACATACCTCTTCAATTGGTTGTAAAAATGTGTACATCATATGGTATAAGAACAAATGTGTATAACTTTTGAGATCATCATACCAACTAATACTCTGTCTTAGATGACTAGAAAAGGTATAGGAAGAACCAACTTTGCAGGTAATTCGTCGTATTTTATGCTATGAGTGGGGGCTCACTTGAACCCCTGTGGGAACCGAATTAAATCACCCTAGGTCAAATAATTCCTTCCATTTGGTGATTATTTGCCCTAATTGGGAGTTACTCAATTTAATTGGGAGTTACCCAATTAAATTGGCAATTACCTAATTAAAATGGGGATTGATTTGATTCCTACCCCAATTAGGGATTTGATTTAAATCAAATAAATCAAATCCCTAATTAATCAAATCTCGCCTAATCGGGGAGGAATAATTCCTTTCCAT